TACAATATAAATTCTAGGAGTACAATTATAAAGTCAGAAAAATCCCTGTCCGCCTTCAAAAAGAATTACCCATATTGCTATATTTCTTCTAAATTTTCACCTTCTTAATGAATCTATGAGTTACTCGGAAGAAAAAACTACTGAAATTGACCTTAAGAATCTTAGCGAAAGTCTTCAAGATGCAGCCGTGAACCTTAAAATTGCCTGTTTGTCCATTCGCAGTTGCTACGTTAGCAATGCCTCTTCTGTTAAAGAATTCGTTGACCTTCGCAGCATAATTGCGGCTCATGCAAAGATTTATAACGAAAAAATTTTACCATCTACAAACAAGGTCGTTCAAAGTATTCAAAATTTGGCAGAGTCCTATATGGCATTAACTCTCGAAGAATTTAAGAAAAGTATTCGGTTTCTATCTACTAAAGCCGATCAAGGGTATGGGCTTGCTAATTCCATAAAGGATATTCACGAAGATATTTCTAAAGACTTCAAAAAAAATAAAGAAGCTGCAACTGCTGTTATAGAAAAACTTGAAAAAGATGCACAATTTTACGAAGACCAGGCAAAACGATTACGTATGCGTGCAAATAGTAAATATAGTTGGGCAATCGGTTTGGCTCTTATTCCCGGTGTAAATTTGGCCGCGAAGCCGTTTCTGATTGATTCGGCCGATAATGACCTGATTAGATCAATTGCAAGCAACGAGGAATCAAAATTAGCAGCTTCTGCTGCATGTATTATTAAAGAAGTTTTTAGCACTTCAACTGAAAATTTTACTGAAAATTTAAAAACTATCGCAGGTTTCTTTATCGCTCTTAAACAAGAATTATCAATCCTCGCCGAAAGTTCTAGTGAAACATATAAAGAATCACATTATACTGAATTTAAAGATGCGGCGAAGACTATTATTCATAGATGTCGGTCTTACACCGCCATTATTCCGAGCTGTACAACCGACCTTCGAGCGATCTCCGATAATTCGGATAAAAATTATGTTGAGGAATGGGTTTCCGCGAAAATAACCGAAAATGATAAGTCGACATTTCTATTATTTAAAAGTGATAAAAAAAATGGTGAAAAGAATATTGATGAAAAAAGGATTAAAAAAAATTGAAGAAAAACAATAAAAAGTGAAAGATAAATAGATAAGATTTTTCGATATATTTAAGAAAGTTTTTTTTAGTTTATTTTTTTTATCTTTGAATGATGTCTAAACCAAAAGATTTTTTTCCAAAAATAAGAGACATGGGGGGGTGTTATTCGTGCAGCACTCGTGCAGGCGAATTTGTAGTGAAATTTCCGTACTATAATAATTTATATTAAAATTTATAATAAATTATTTTTTATCTACTTCTCTTCGTTCTTGTTTTGTGAGGTGCATGCTACAAAAATAAAGGTTTGTAATAATCGCGTTAATATTATCCTTAACATAATAACGTAATACATATAGTTTATAGTTTAATTGATCGCATCGGATTTCAACAGTATTTTATTTCCCGCTAACCACTGGTCCTTGCGCCAAAGCTATTTCAGAGCCTGATAGATATGATTTCAAGAAACGGCAGTTACACATTTTCTTATTAATTCATTATCTCATTTTTTGATATAGTGATTTTTTCGCGGAAGAGTTGACCTCCTATTTATCCAATCACCTGGGAACCAATGTTCCCTTTGAATTATTCAGCTATATTTTTAACAATATTTTTCTTACTCGCTGCATTAGCTACTATCAAGTTGTTGTATCCAATGTTCGGTGGTATATTAAAAAAAATAAAAACTCATGCTGTAAATATTCATTTTTCAATGATGCATGTGTTATTTAGATATCATTTAACAACTCTTCGTTTGCTTAGATTATAATTGTCATGATAATTTCTGGACACATGTGAACCAAATTCGAGGAATTCCATACATAATCCCTCAGAATGGTCACAAGCATTTTCAAATCAAATTGTAGCATTTATATGTTAAATAAAATATTGATATTCCATATGGGTCCATACTTGTTTTGACCAAGTTACTTCTTGAATTTAGATACCACTTGTGTGTTTTCAATTATCTCTTTAATATTAACGGTGCCAAAAATTGAAGATATTTCATCAGGAAATTTTTTAGCAAAAATCTTTGAAGATCTTCAGGCGTAAACCTCCAGAGGACCTCTGTCATCGTTAAAAGACTCCAGAGTGAAACTTAATATATTAAACTCTAGAGATCTTCAATTTATTTTAATAATAATAAAATATATTTATATTTATGTATTATATTCTATTAATATTCAATTTTA